TTTCTTCTATTTCTCATTGGTGGGTGGCTCCTGTTTTTTCTTCTATTTCTCATTGGTGGGTGGCTCCTGTTTTCTCTTCTATTTCTCATTGGTGGAAGGCTCCTGTTTTCTCTTCTATTTCTCATTGGTGGGTGGCTCCTGTTTTCTCTTCTATTTCTCATTGGTGGGTGGCTCCTGTTTTTTCTTCTATTTCTCATTAGTGGGTGGCACCTGTTTTTTCTTCTATTTCTCATTGGTGGGAGGCTCCTGTTTTTTCTTCTATTTCTCATTGGTGGGTGGCTCCTGTTTTTTCTTCTATTTCTCATTGGTGGGAGGCTCCTGTTTTTTCTTCTATTTCTCATTGGTGGGAGGCTCCTGTTTTTTCTTCTATTTCTCATTGGTGGGTGGCTCCTGTTTTCTCTTCTATTTCTCATTGGTGGGTGGCTCCTGTTTTCTCTTCTATTTCTCATTGGTGGGTGGCTCCTGTTTTTTCTTCTATTTCTCATTGGTGGGTGGCTCCTGTTTTTTCTTCTATTTCTCATTGGTGAAGGCTCCTGTTTTGATAGGAGGCTAGTTGTTTAGTCGGCTTGTTGAGGTTAAGAATCGACGCCTCAAGGCTCGGGTTTTCCTTGTTGTGTCATTGGAAAAAGGCTCCTGTCTTGATGGGGTTCTCCTGTTTTGGTATAGGTTCTAGGAAGGTCTTTAGAAAGAGAGATAACCTAATAGAACTAAGAGTTTCATTGGTCATGTCCCCTTGACCGTGTGTGTGTGTGGTGTGTGTGTGTGTGTGTGTGCGCGCGCGCGCGTGTGTGCGCGTGTATATATATATATATCAAAACGAAGACGGACACAAGATATAAGTGACTCTTTGAGTATGAGGTAGGAGAGCTGGCGAGAGACCGAGTTTCTTTCAGGCAGACCGTAATGAGGGCTACGTTCTGCAAAGGACCTGCTACATGATGATGATACACACACACACACACACACACAAACACACACACACACACACAAAAAGGATACAAACATTCATAATGGAAGGCTTGGTGGCTTTGTAAACGGCTCGTGCTTTCTTTTCTATATCTTAGTGGAAGACCCGGTGCTTTGGTAGAAGGCTCCCGTTTTGTTTGAAGGCTCTCTGATGGCGGGTATATTTAATAGTGTATAGGAGTAAATTAAAAACTTTAAATGGTTTAAACATTGAATACTCTTTTCTCCCCTTGTGGGATGTACCATATTTCTTTATTTTAAAGCCCCACCGTGGATCTTTCCAGGGGCTGCAATATAGCCCGGCCATAAATATGGTATAATGGCTGAACGCGGTTTCCGGGACCTCTCCATGGGTGATCCTCACCCACATGGTGGCACTTTGTGTCATCGGGTGTTTATCGCTTGTGTGATGTCTAAGTGGGGTAAAATGTACTACTACTACTACTAGACATTGAATACCATGATATATATTTGTTCATCATTATCATCATCATCATCATAACCACTTCTGCCGTCAAACGGCGTGGGGAGGAATAATTTGCGATCCAGTGCACGTTGGCTGTCACTGGCTACTGTCATGCCGTGAAGGCGTAGAGTGTCTTTAAAGTTGTCGATCCATATTTTCGCGGTCGTCCTCTTGCTCTTGTAGCTGATCTTCTGAGATGTAGTGCTTGTGATGGTATTTGCTCTTGCTTCCTTCTAACGAGATGGCCAAACCACTTGATCTGCTAATTCTCGATGAATCTAGTACAAGGTGTCGTTCCCAGAGTTTGCCTGATAGTTTCATTATTAACGAACGATTATTATCAACGAACAAGATTATTATGGCCTAGAGAGAAAAAGGCACCTAGGTGTAACCAGAGGGTGTGGCAGACTCGCTTCACTCAGAGGAAAGGCGAGACGGACATTTAATCAGATTGTGACCGGTACCATCAGACATCTGCGCTGCTTGCTGAAGATGAGGACGGAGCATGCACGGGAATGCCCCGAGTGCTATGATGTCAATTCTTGACTTGAGTAACTAACTAACTTTCATTATTAACGCGACCTCGGATAGTTGAGTTGGCTGCTTTTTTATTTTTTTAAAATTTAATATCATTATGTTCTATTACAAAGTCAAAGCAAAATGTAACAAAACCATACAAAATTCAAAAGCTTAACGTCAGAACCCTGTTTGTACAGTCAGGTGGACGTGCATACCATAGATACTGTGTGCTGTGTGTGTGTACGGGCATAACCCATAGTTGACGGACAGGTCAGCACTGTGGAAGCTTGTGTTGTTTTTATTATTAATTGATGCTCAACTGTTTAAGGTGATAATGTCTTTCCTTGTTTTCGTGTATTCAACCCAGTATTTGTGCACACAATGACAATTGGCATGCATAATAATATTCAAAATGATAATACTGGCCGCAAAGATCACCCATCTGCACAGCACACAATCTTCTAAAATCTGGACATGTGGTAACTAGGGACAACGCATTTCAAATCTTTCATAAGTCAACCAATGCTTGAACGCTAAGATATCTCAAAGCTTCAACGATTTGTCAACTGCGACCGGAACTCTGTATTCAGAAAGAGATGGTTCTGTCTACGGCTGCCCTGGTAAAAACAGGCAGTCATGTTTGATCGTTGTTGAAACTGTACTTCAGTTATAAAGGATTCATTTGTTTGCTTCATTTATGTAATTGTTACTGTGGTATGCCCATGACGAGATTACAGCGAAATATGAAAGGCAATACATTGTGCAATCTATTGTGTGTGTCTTCTTTGTTCAAAGTTTATTTTTCTGTTCAGCTTCTTCATTTGATGTGCTCCAGACATTTCCTTGCTCTCCCCCTGGCGGCTGCGATCCGTGAACATTTGCAACTCTCCGAGTAAGTTGTTTCTTCTCTCCGCGATATTCTCAGCAATTATTTTAAACAAGAATATATGTTGAACATATCACTTATATACATTTATCACGTTTGATTACGCTAAAAGTAATGTTTTTTTTTTCTTTTTAAATTTGTGCACATAATGGGAAATAAACACATACACAAAAACACACACTTTTACAATGTAACAGTGTTTTTCTAAATCCTTCCACCCTCTGTTATGGAAAGCTGGAGTGCAGAACTATTTCCTGTCACACTCGGTTTTGGGATTTTGCACAATTAAGCCAATGTACCTTGTCTCAGTTGAGTGCTCTCCCTTCCATCAGCACATCTCATAAATGTTCCTGGGTAACCGGCTGTTTTCGTCATTTCCGGTAACATTTTCCTGGAAAATATCCAACATCTCAACCCAAACGTTTTTAATTAAGGCAGAGGTGGGACGTTATGTCAAAGTCTTTCAAAATTGCAAACACGCATTCATACATTTTCTTTCTGTTCCCACACAACTCTTAAACACCACACATGAGCAATCATTTCTCACACAACTTTCACACATGAACAGTCTGTCCTCACACATCTCTACAAACACAACACAAGAACAATCTGTCCTCACACATCTCTACAAACAAACAGAAACATTCTATCCTTACATAACACTAAAAACACCACAGGAGCAATAACTCTTCACACAACTCAACAAACATCGCACAGGAACAACCAGTCCCTAAACAACTCTATAAACACAGCACAGGAAAAACCAGTCCCTCTACAACTCTACAAACACCCCACTTAAGCAATCAGTCCTCACACAGTTTCCACACAGGAACAATCTGCCCTCACACAACTTGCTGCTGGTGGGTAGTGCATGTTGGGGTGGGCTGTTGGTGAGCAGTGGGTGGGTTGTTGGTAAATGGGTTATTGGTGGGTCGTGCATGATGGGGTGGGTTGTTGGTAAGTGGGTTATTGATGGGTAGCGCATGTTTGGGTGGTCTGTTGGTGAGTAGTGGGTGGGTTGTTGGTAAGTGGGTTATTGGTGGGTAGTTCATGATGGCATCTGAGACTCTCACTAATCTTGACTGTTGTGTGTAGATACATTCACAAATTATTGTGTATAGATACATTCACAAATTATTGTGTGTAGATATATTCACAAACTGTTGTGTGTAGATACATTCACAAACTGTTGTGTGTAGATACATTCACAAACTGTTGTGTGTAGATACATTCACAAACTGTTGTGTGTAGATTATTCACAAATTGTTGTGTGTAGATACATTCACAAATTATTGTTTGTAAATACATTCACAAACTGTTGTGTGCAGATACATTCACAAACGTTTGTGCGTAGATACATTCACAAACTGTTGTTTGTAGATACATTCACAAACGGTTGTTTTTAGTAACATTTACAAATTGTGGGGAGATTATATGTTATCACTATCCACATGTGCCATGCTGGCTGACCATAGTTGATAAGGGGTTGGAAATATTACACTGGGATATTGATGTACATGTGTGTGAGGGGGGGGGGGGGCGGGGCCAAGGCACTGATATTATCGATGCAATTTTCAGAGAGATGAAAGTCGTGTATAAGCAATCATGGTGGGTTATTGCTTCTCCTTTTTCTTCTTCTTCTTCTTCTTCTTCTTCTTCTTCTTCTTCTTCTTCTTCTTCTTCTTCTTCTTCTTCTTCTTCTTCTTCTTCTTCTTCTTCTTCTTCTTCTTCTTCTTCTTCTTCTTCTTCTTCTTCTTCTTCTCCTTCTTCTTCTTCTTCTTCTTCTTCTTCTTCTTCTTCTTCTTCTTCTTCTTCTTCTTCTTCTTTTTCTTCGCGTTCACCAGCTTTAACTCCGGTGGAAAGTTCTGGTTGTTTGTCCAATTCTGGACTGCAGTCCTGTTCCAGAACCTTAGTGTGCATCCGTTTAACAGATCTGACTAACTTGTATGCAGACTCTTGATTCCTTGCCTCTCAGGCAGATGCACTCCGACATCAAAGTAAACTTCCAATTAGTCGACTCTTACGACATGCTTTTGGGTAGGCAGTGGGTCTATTCTTGTTTTCCCTTAAATAGGGCCCTGGAACACACATGGGGAGGTGGGTTATTTGATTCCAGTGTGCTCGTGGGAATATCTGAAGGCACCCAAAACATTAAAACAGAATTCATGAAATCTTCAGAGAGATGCAGGTCGTGTAAGCCAAGTAAGTGGATGCTGCCACTGACTCTGTGCAGATACTTCTGTCATGGCTGACTGGTGAATAGACACCAGGTCTATGTTTATCTCGGAAGTTGTCATCCGCATCGTCGACCTCTTCCTCCTCACGCAGGCCCATCAAACTGGGCAAACTCCTGCAGCTATCGGTCCTGACAACTGAGTTCCTTCTCATGACTTCATGGGGAATGCACACACTATGTTCACGGCTGGTGCGTCCCCGGACGACATCTGTTAGTTCTCTGCGAACTAGTTTGCTTCTGAATACATACAGCAGTGGGTTGCAGGCACAACTGAGCATGGCCAGCACCGTAGAGATGTGTGAGATGATGGGGTATGGCTGGCAGTGGGTACTGCACCCAGCCTCCACTGCCATCACTAGAAAATATGGCGCCCAGCAAATGGCAAAACTGAAGAGGACAAGGAAACTTGTGACTGCTGCCTTCCATTCCTCCTTTCTCCACAGGAAAGACGAGGAACGGCTGGATGACTGGCTCAGCCGTCTGAGAATTGGAACTGTGCTGCTCCGTCTCCTAGAGTTGACAGGTGTGGACTGTTGAACACTTTCATCAGACTGTCCAGCAGTTGCTGGAGGACTGACGCGAATGATGCTGTTTCGTCGGGCTCTAACGATATTGCCACGGGCAGCCCTGTATATTCTACAGTAGGTCCACATAATAGCAATCAGGGGAAGCACGAAGCTAAACATGATCAGGAAATATGTGTAGCAGCTGTCGTATCTGCCAGCACCAGACCACTTGACCGTGCAGACCATCTTGTTGCGTTGGAACTCAATAGCGTTCCAGCCCAACAACGGAGGGGCTGAGATGAAGACTGCAGTGACCCAGATACAGATAACAAACACATAGCATCTCCTGGAGGTCATTTTCATGGAGTAGTGTAACGGGGTCACCACGGCGCAGTATCTGTCGATGGAGATCACGGCCAACGTGAAGATGCTAGCGCTAACCACGACGTTCATGATAAACCCTGTAGAAACACACCAGAACATCCCAAAGACCCACCGCTGGGTCAGCAGCGAGGTGAAAGCACATGGGACCACCACCAATGTGTTTAGGCAATTACAGATGGTCAGGTTGGCCACAAACCGGTTGGAAATGGTTAATGTCCTTCGTTTCCAGAAAACAAGAATAACGAATGTGTTGACAAACAGACTGGTGAAGAATATGGCTACCAACAAAAAACCGATGGTGGCCGTCTCCGCTGTAGAAAGCTCTGTGTAGAAATTATCCTCGCCAGCGTCGGATCTGTTGAAAGGAAGGACACTGCCGTTGTTGCAGACGATGACCAGGGATTGGTTCTCACCTTCCATATGCGCCAGATGAAGGAAATCTGCCGGCACAGATCTTACACATATGGTTTTAATGATCCTAAACAGATGATTTCAACACATTATCCAGACGATCAATAGTGTGTGCTGGTTGGCATCTGCAAGGTAATCGTGTGTTGACTCAACATTTCCTGGACGTCTGTGGCATGCCTGTGATCATATAAGCTGCACCATAACACCAGCTCTAGCACTCTAGTCATCTGTGTCTGTCTAGAAGAACGGTCAAAGTTGTTGGTTCTTTATGGTGTCCAGTGTAGCGTAGTGATTGTGTGATCATCCTTGAATAACTTAACAACTCTAAATACCAGATGTCATTCCACGCCAAATGTCAAAAAGTGGAATTGTCTCACAGTTGACCGCCTATATGGGATCCGTGCATCAAACACAACAGTTCAACAGTGGACAGCTGAACATCTTCTTCCTGTGTGGGAAAAGAAAGGGTTAGGGTCAGTGCATCAGTCATTTTCCCCTTTAACAATAGAGAAATGTATGTAAGGCAGAGACAGAGTGAAAGGGTATGCAAGTCAGGGACAGGCTGAGAGTGTGTGTGGGAGCATCGTGGAGATGTGGGACGGAGATGACTGGGTAGAAAATACAAGGACACGGTGAGACAATAACTATCATGGGTTGGTATTGTATGAAATAGTGGTCCTCATCCACGAGCACACTCCAAACACCTGCTAATGCTAAAATAGTGGCCCTCATCCACGAGCACACTCCAAACACCTTCTGCTAATGCTGAAATAGTGGCCCTCATCCACGAGCACACTCAAAACACCTGCTGATGCTGAAATAGTGGTCCTCATCCACGAGCACATCCCAAACACCTGCTGATGCTGAAATAGTGGCCCTCGTCCACGAGCACACCCCAAACAGCTGCTGCCAATGCTGAAATAGTGGCCCTCATCCACGAGCACACTCCAAACACCTGCTAATGCTGAAATAGCGGCCCTCATCCACGAGCACACTTCAGACACCTGCTAATGCTGAAATAGTGGCCCTCATCCACGAGCACACTCCAAACACCTGCTGCTAATGCTGAAATAGTGGCCCTCATCCACGAGCACACTCCAAACACCTGCTAATGCTGAAATAGTGGCCCTCATCCACGAGCACACTCCAAACACCTGCTGCTAATGCTGAAATAGCGGCCCTCATCCACGAGCACACTTCAGACACCTGCTAATGCTGAAATAGTGGCCCTCATCCACGAGCACACTCCAAACACCAGCTGCTAATGCTGAAATAGTGGCCCTCATCCACGAGCACACTTCAGACACCTGCTAATGCTGAAATAGTGGCCCTCATCCACGAGCACACTCCAAACACCTGCTGCTAATGCTGAAATAGTGGCCTTCATCCACGAGCACACTCCAAACAGCTGCTGAAATAGTGGTCCTCATCCACGAGCACACTCCAAACAGCTGCTGAAATAGTGGCCCTTATCCACGAGTACACTCGACCAGGTGGTGTCATCACCTTTAGACATAGCTTATTGATTCTTGAAGTGCAGACTAAGTTGGCATATACAGCGCAGATAAATAGGGGGATAGTAGAAGAAGAAAGTCAGGCATTCAGTTTAACTAGTTCTAGAATGACAGTGGAAAAAGAAGGTGTCAGAGGGGCACCTGCATGGTTGACAGAACAGACAGCAACTCACGCATTAATACTGACAGAACAGACAGCAACTCACGCATTAATACTGACAGAACAGACAGCAACTCACGCATTAATACTGACAGAACAGACAGCAACTCACCCATTAATACTGAAAGAACAGACAGCAATTCACGCATTAATACTGAAAGAACAGACAGCAACTCACGCATTAATACTGAAAGAACAGACAGCAACTCACGCATTAATACTGACAGAACAGACAGCAACTTACGCATTAATACTGACAGAACAGACAGCAACTCACGCATTAATACTGACAGAACAGACAGCAACTCACCCATTAATACTGAAAGAACAGACAGCAACTCACGCATTAATACTGACAGAACAGACAGCAACTCACGCATTATTACTGACAGAGCAGACAGCAACTCACGCATTAATACTGACAGAGCAGACAGCAACTCACGCATTAATACTGATAGAACAGACAGCAACTCACGCATTAATACTGACAGAACAGACAGCAACTCACACATTAATACTGACAGATCCAGTGAGTATTTCAAGAAAATCAAAATTGGCGAACTCGATTATAATGAGTTGAGAACATCTGGAAGTTTCACCTCAAGAAACTATGCTGGCTGTTAGACACCAAGAGATGCCGGAGTAAAGGGATGAACGAGCTGGCAGACTGGCCGTGCCTGGTGTAGTTTGTAGAGAAAGACGTGTGAACAGATATAATGAATGCATTGCGTTCCAGAGAAGAGACAAAGGTGTACGAGAGGAAGAATCGACCGTGTGAAATTGGTATTAACGAGGCCAAGCTTGCACAAACCGGTTGCAAAAAGGTGGTGGGGGGGGGGGGAGGGGATGGATGGGGGAGAGAATGGGTACCGTTAGCATGAAGACATCAAGATTGCTGCTGCATCGAACAACGACAGGATCGATCGAACTACTAGGATATCAGTATAGATCAAAAGTAACAAGTATGATCTAATTTGTTTTTCCACAACATCAGATTTTTTAAGTGTGTAGTTTAACAACTTCACTATCACCTCCTACAACATCACTATCACCTCCTACAACATCACCATCAACTCCTACAACATCACCATCACCTCCAACAACATCACCATCACCTCCTAAAACATCACCATCACCTCCTACAACATCACCATCACCTCCTACGACATCACTATCACCTACTACAACATTACTATCACCTTCTATGACATCACTATCACCTCCTACGACATAACTATCACCTCCTACAACATCACTATCACCTCCTACAACATTACTATAACTTCCTACAACATCACCATCACCTCCTACAACATCACCATCACCTCCTACAACATCACCAACACCTCCTATAACATCACCATCACCTCTTACAACATCACCATCACCTCATACAACATAACTATCACCTTCTATGACATCACTATCACCTCCTACGACATAACTATCACCTCCTACAACATCACCATCACCTCCTACAACATAGCTATCACCTTCTATGACATCACTATCACCTCCTACAACATCACTATCACCTCCTACAACATCACTATCACCTCCTACAACATCACTTACACCTCCTAAAACATCACTTTCAGCTCCTATAACATCACTATCGCATCCTACAACATCACTATCACCTCATACAACACCACTAACACCTCCTACAACATCACTTACACCTCCTAAAACATCACTTTCAGCTCCTATAACATCACTATCGCATCCTACAACATCACTATCACCTCCTACAACATCACTATCACCTCCTACAACATCACTTACACCTCCTAAAACATCACTTTCAGCTCCTATAACATCACTATCGCATCCTACAACATCACTATCGCATCCTACAACATCACTATCACCTCATACAACACCACTAACACCTCCTGCAACATCACTATATCATAACCACACCGCCATGGAGATGAAAGAGTCGCTTTATCGTGAGAATGTTGACCGTCTGCTAGAGAACACATAGATGAGTGTATGAGACACACACAGATCTGACAGACTAGCACAGACAGTCATGCAGACTGACAGTCACACACACACACACACACACACACACACACACACATGTATGGCAGACTAGCACAGACGGTCATGCAGACTGACAGTCATATATAAACACACACATGTATGACAGACTCACACACACACACACACACACACACACACACACACACATGTATAACAGACTAACACAGACGGTCATACAGACTGACAGTCACACACACACACACACACACACACACACACACACACATGTATGGCAGACTAGCACAGACAGTCATGCAGACTGACAGTCATATATAAACACACACACACACACACACACACACACACACACATGTATAACAGACTAACACAGATGGTCATACAGACTGACAGTCACATATAAACACACACATGTATGACAGACTCTCACACACACACACACACACATGTATAACAGACTAACACAGATGGTCATACAGACTCACACACACACACACACACACACACACACACACACACACATGTACGGCAAACTCACACAGATGGTCATACAGACTGACAGTCACACACACACACACACTCACGAATGCATAGCAGACTAGCACAGATGGTCATACAGAACGAAAGCATATACATATACAAGCAATTACGTACATATATCGACACAAGAATACAACCAGGACAAGAACACAACCCTCGCAGATACAAAAACACAGCAAGCCCACAGATACAAGAACACAACTAGCCCACAGATACAAGAACACAACTAGCCCACAGATACAAGAACACAACTAGCCCACAGATACAAAAACACAACAAGCCCACATATACAAGAACACAACTAGCCCACATATACAAGAACACAACAAGCCCACAGAATTAAAAACACAACTAGCCCACATATACAAGAACACAACTAGCCCACAGATACAAGAACACAGCAAGCCCACATATACAAGAACACAAACCTCACAGATACAAGAACACAACCAGCCAACATATACAAAGACACAAACCTCACAGATACAAGAAAACAAACAGCCAGAGATTCAAGAACACAAGCCACACATATACAAGAACACAACTAGCCCACAGATACAAGAACACAACAAGCCCACATATACAAGAACAAACAAGCCCACATATACAAGAACACAACAAGCCCACATATACAAGAACACAACTAGCCCACATATACAAGAACACAACTAGCCACAGATACAAGAACACAACTAGCCCACATATACAAGAACACAACTAGCCCACAGATACAAGAACACAACAAGCCCACAGATACAAGAACACAACTAGCCCACAGATACAAGAAC